ATAGCAAAGGCTGTTTTAACTAGTATTAGAAATCAAGTTCATACTACATGCTAGGTAGCTTTAATCAAAGGTTCGCAAAGCAAGCAATAAATGCATACATTTTAAGTTTGGCATTTTCCTCTTGTTCACGTTGAACTGTGGCTTGCAGAGACTCCTTAACTTTTGCAAATGCCTCTGTTGCCTTCTTTTTCTCTTCTAGCTCCCTATAACAAGCAGTAAAGTCTTATTAGTAAATTAGAATAAAAGTGCTCCATTACCATGGTGACGCTTATAAATAAATGCATACGTAGCATTAAAAATCCCATATATTAACAAAGGTAAGAGCAAGGAATACATACCTTTCCAGCCTTGCAGTTTCCTGTTGTTCACGCTCAACTGAGTCTTGAAGAGATTCCTTGATTTTCGCGAATTCTTTTGATGCATTCTGTGTCTCTTCCAGCACCCTAAAATAAGCGAACATTATCAGATTTTGCAAGTCATAATTGTATCTACATAGCTTCTCAAATGCCAAAAGTAATGGTTCGAATGAGCAGTCCATTGCCTCTATGATTTAATGAGTTTGCACGCGTCTTTTATCGAATGAGATATTCTGAAAATTGATGTAGATCCTGTAACGGACTACATACTCTTTCAGCCTCGCATTTTCAGCTTGTTCGTGTTGCACTTCAGCCTGAAGAGACTCCTTTCCCTTTGCCAATTCTTTTGCTGTATTTTCTGCCTTTTCCAGCTTCCTGCAACAAGCAAATCGATTCAATAGACTTAGTGATATATATTCAGCTAGCACATAAAAATTAGCACTTTTACTCATGTAGACCGGCAATAGGACTAAAAATACTGACAACCTATTCACAAACAAAGATCTGAGTAAACAGAGTAATACCAACATGATTCAAAGAACATGTAATGGATGTTTCCTTAATGCCAGGCATATGCCTTACATTCAATAGTTACATTTACAATCGACCAATCTATATATTTCGTTAAAACGTACTCTTTCAGTTCTGCATTTTCATCTTGTTCATGTTCAATTGTGGCCTGGAATAGCTCCTTCATTTCTGTAAAACTCTGTGATGCCTTCTTTGCCTTTTCGAGCTCCCTATAACAAGAAAAAAAGAACAACTTGAAAATGTAGTTACATTAATATACGTGAACATCCCAATACAAACAAATAAAGAAATCCAATAAAAGACCATTATCAAATAAATCACATAAATTGCATACGTTTTCAGTCTTGCACTTTCTTCTTGTTCATGTTGAACAGTGGCCTGGAGGGAATCCTTCACAGAGAACTTGGTCTCTTCCAGCTCCCTACAAGTGAAATAGTTTGAGATTACTGGCAAAAACCTAATAGTCTAAGATTAAATGTCTTCATGAATTGTCTGGAAAGTTGGATAACCCTGACACATGGTATGAAACTTAGATCAAATAGTTTAGCATCAATCTATATTTTACGAGGAAACACACACCTTTTCAGCCGTGCAGTCTCATTTTGTTCATGTTGGACCTTGGCCTCGAGAGATTCCTTCACTTTTGCAAATTCCTCTGAAGCATTCTTTGTCCCTTCCAGCTCCCTACAAGTGGGGAAAAGAAGATGGATTCTTACGGCATAGGATTAGTACATAGAATAGCAAATGAGTTATGTTGTTGAGAAATTATTTTTAATTTCTTTGTAGTGTAAATCAAACTTAGTTATCGTAAGAGGATGCTTACCTTTGCAGGTTGGCATTTTTTTCTTGTTCGTGTTTAATGCCTGCTTCAAGAGTATTCTTCACTTTCTCAAACTCTTCTGCCTCCTCCTTCAACTCTTCTCGATCACTGCAACAACAAAGAAAACAGAGGACCCTCGCTGTGAACAACAACTGATATATTATTTTATGTCTTGTTAACGTCGTATGTAGTATTGACAGTAAAATATGAAATCTTTCATTATGAATGATTGGGCAATCATTAATCATTAATTTCCATATCTCATTTCTAGTTTTAACTTACTTGCTGAGTTTCTCGATAATAGACCCCATGCTCTTGTGATAGGCTTTTTCACCCAGTATTTCCTCCTCTAACTCATGCACTAGGCTATAACATAAAAGACACAAGTGTGACAAAAATTCTAAAATGGCTTTAGATTTTTTATTTTTATTTCATTTTATTCTTTGCTTTAGGCCAAAGGCCAATATAAAAGAAAGGAATAATACAAACATACAAATACACATAGACCAATCACATTAATTTAGAATAATAATTACACAGAATCATTGATGTAATTTTTAAGGTCAAAAATTATATTAAAAATGAGCAGTCTACTGTTTCTGCAATTAGATACATGCCTTTGTGTACTCTGAGCATGCATATGCCTTATATATTGGCTGTTTTTTTCTGAAATTTTAACTAGGTATTATCAAGGGACTCTTACTTTTGCAGCTTTATATTTTTCTCCTGTTCGTATTCAACTTCGGCCTCAATATCATCTTTTCCTTTCTTCAACTTTCCTGCTTCCTCCCGCAACTCTTCCACCTCTCTGCAAAGATCAAGACATTTTATTAAAAACGAAATATCCGTCAAGAACAACTGAATATCATTGCAGGACTTATTGGCGTCCTACGTTAAGTCAAGTATAATACAATGAGGGCAAGTAAGGGCAATTTTTTTCTTGTGTTGACTCATTTCTAGTGACGACTTACCTGTTCAGTTTCTCGTTAATGACCCGCATGGTCCTGTGATAGGCTTTTTCACCCTTTATTTCGTCTTCCAACTCCTGAAGGAGGCTAAAACATGAAACACACAAATGTGACCAAAAGTCTTTTTAAAAAAAAACATGGCTATAGAATTATTGATTTAATGTTTCAAAGAAAATTAAATGTGAAATGGGCAGTCCATTGTTTCTATAGCTGAAAATTAAACTAGGCACTCTCGGGGGATGCTTACTCTTGCATCTTTATATTCTTCTCTTGTTCGTATTCAACTTCGGCTTCTATATCATCTTTCCCTTTCCTCAACTCTTCTGCTTCCTCTCTCAACTCTTCCAGATCACTGCAACAATCAAGAAAAAATTAGGAATAGTTAGGAAGAATAGCAGATAATATTGTATAACTTGTTAGAAAACCATGTAGTGGTATAGGTCAAATATATGTAAAGGTTTAAGGTTTAAAGGTTCAAATATATGTAAAGGTTTAAGTCAAATATGGAAAGTTTACTCCATTAACAGTGCATACATTGTTTGCATTGAAATGTTATGGGCATTTTTTTTGGTCTTGACTTGTTTCTGGATGTTGACTTACCTCATCAGTTTTTGGTTCATGGAGAACATGCCCTTGTGAAAGGACTTTTCCCCCAATATTTCCTCTTCTAACTCCTGGATTGTTCTAAAAAGTGCAAAAGACACAAGTGTGACCAACAGTGTAGGGAATGTTATGTCTATAGAATAGTAATGTTTCCGTCAGAAATTTCATTTGAAATGAGCTATAGCTATAGATATGCCATTTTACAGACTGTCAGGAAAACATACACTGAGCATGCACATGTATTAGGGTAACCAAGGTGTTATAAGGGGATATTGCAGACACCAAATTAACTACATTCCTTTATCTAAACCGATCTTTCCTTACCGGTTACTCTCCTCAAGCTTTGCCTTGAGCTCTTGGATTTCACGCCTCAGGGCAGCATGTAACCTAGAGGTGAAAATTTCAATTTAAAAACGGTTACGAACAAAGTAGAGACATGATCAGAAAAGTTGATGCTGCTTTCACAATTTAAGATGCACAGCAAATATTTTATACATGGATGCGGTATTTTTGTTATAACGACAGATGCCATGAATGGTATTTTTTTATTCATTTTATTCGCACGGTTATTAAAAGATAGATTGAAAAGGTAAACAAATTACATAAAACAAAATAATGACAGAAATCATTCAGGGCTTGTTTAATTATATAACAAATTCTTTAACATTAATATCACTAAAATAATCATGTTTTGTTGTTTTTGGGATCATCATCTACACACCTAAATGTGATTGAAGTATGTGAATAAAGAAAAAAAATCATCACTGGTTCAAACTTTAAATAAAGTACCAGCTTTACCTATCTTCATTCAGTCGTGAATATCCAGATGGAGGTGACAGGTTGTTATCTTTCTCTCCCTCCTCTCTCTTCCTCTTCTCTTTGTCTTCCTCCTCTGTCTTCTCCTCTCTCACCTTCATCTTCTCATCTCCCTTCTTCTCTTTCTCATCCTCAAAATCATCATCCTCATCCTCACTGTCCCACTCCCAATCACTGGAACATATAATCAGAGCAAAATTCACATTCTTTTATCTCAATGGAAAGCATTGTAGAACCAAGGAAAATAAAGCAAATTTGAAACATGTCAAATATTATTTCAACTACTCAGAAATTGTTTTGTCTTTTGTGATTGCAAAATGTATACTTGAGGATAATATGTTACAGCATACTCCATACATTCTCCTTTCTATATTATTCTATATATTCTATATATAACTTTAATATACATAGACATACAACATATATATACAATTATACAGAAAACAAGAAAATCCACTCAATCCAAATTTCAGAGAACATTTGCTACTAGGTAGTTTCAGGAAACTATAAATAGTGAGATAAATGTTTACCCCTATATGCTTCATTGAAAGCCAGTTGAAGAACAAGAATGTTTATAAACATTACCTCAACTCTTCGTCCACCTCCTCTTTGACTGTAGACAGTCTATGAGAAAGGAATAGTTGTAAGACAAGTGTAGGATAAATGTGATCCCTACAAAATAATTCTTATTCAACAAAAGTTACCTCCTCCCTTTCCACACAGTCACATTCCCTACAGCAATACTAAATCAAAATTCCATGTCATATTTTACTTCTCACCTTCCCCGGTTCGTGGCCTCTTCTCCATCGCTGTAGTCTTCAAAGTCGCTGCAAATGTAAAACAAAATATGCTGATTTAATAAGATTTTCATAGGCATAACGACAATCGCGATGCTGGTTCAGCAATCTAGCACCCCCCCCCCTCCTCTCTTTGACGCGGGACTTCTTTTTCAGTTTCTTTTCAAATTTGCGACCAATATTTCACACAATAGGTACCTTTCAAAACACATGTTAAAATATAGTAAACACTTGAATCGTAATCATAATCTTAAGCACTTAGGTCCAAAAAGAATGACGCTTGTTTTGTACCAGAAATCTAGTAAATCGTACGGACGTTCAGCGTATCGTACTGAAGAGTTGCCATGTTGTAAACAAATACTATGCGCAAGGCCTGCAGATTTTTCTAACCAATCAAAGAAATGACATGAAAATGTCACTTATGGAAGCATATACATGATAAGGAAGTCAAGGTTTGTATCATAAAAGTTCAAGTAAACAAACACAGCACCCACAAACAAGTTTGCGTACACAATGTTCCCAAACATTGTACATGGAGCGGTGAATGGGAATAACGCTGATAATTTGTACCAAGAAGATTCCAAAATGCTCCAACAAAACTGTTGTACACTTCAGATGTGGTTTTTAGCACAAGTCAGAAACATATGAAATATTTCTGGTGTACCGTTCTGACAATACAACAACTGGATTTCTTCTGTACATACGTAAACACGTATTTGTAAACTTTTAAAACAATCTTTCAAGTTCGTTGATAGAAACGTCCACTAAAAGTCACAATTTTCAATTCGTAACAATTTCAACAGGCCAAATTACACCACATGAACTTTGATTGTGACTACAAACACAACTCAGTTGTTTCTCCGGAAAGTTCAACACAACAAAAGACCAGTAATCACCTTTGAAAGGACCGTAGATACGTAAAAAAATGACTGTGCGACTTTAGAACAGGTCTAAGTTTGCCGATAGAAACGCCCGTTAAAATCACTTTTTTTACCGCCTATAACAGTTAGAAAAGGCTAAATCACACCACTGACACTTTGTTGATTGTGACTACAAACACAACTCAGTTGTTTCTCCGGAAAGTTGAACACAACAAAAGACCAGTAATCACCTTTGAAAGGACGCCATGGCGTTATCGTGACCTGTGCTGTAAGGCAGCTGAGATCGAGATGACTTTGTTGTCATGTGGTCACCTTGGCAACGGTATGATTGTGTGTCATATTCGAACGCGTGGGAGGAATGACCGCGGCTTGTCTACCACTATTTTCAAAACAATCCAAGTTTTGCACGCATTATTTCACAACTACACAAAGAAATCATTATATTTCATTTTTTTGGTCTTGAGAAACACGTTAAGCAATACTATAAGCTGTAAATATTTTTCCATTGGCCAATAGAATAGAATTTGCATGTTTGACGACCGTTACCATTCCTCCCATTAAAAAGAGTCGAAGCTGTGATTCAGCATTACCACGAAATGTAGCATTTCTGGTGACAGAGAATCGCTTTACAATATACTGCCTTATCATTATAGCTCGGGTATCTGTCAAACTGTCACCAATCTAGGAATACTGCATCTGGTCGCCACCAGGCCTGGTCGCCAATGACACCCCCCCCCCCCCCCGAACCTCAATTTCCCATCCAAGCCAGCCTAGCGGGGACCAATAGGCGGGCAGCATTTCGGCCACACCCACAACCAGCGCTTTAGCAAGATATGGTTGAAAAAGATGTTTATTAAACTTGTTCAAAAGATACATTTCTAAATTATTTTCTGAAATTCTGTGTCTTTGAATAGTTGGAGCAAAATAACCATCGAGCCGAGTTAAACCATTTCGGCACTGGGCTTCTGGTGCTTACGTCGGCTGCGCGGCGTACAGAAACAGTATCTTAGGCCAAGTCTTTGTCTGTGAAAATGTAAGAAAAGAGGCCTTGCAGTCCTGTCCTGCCGATAACCTTGTTGTCCCGATTAAACTTTGTTACCCAGGCGGTATGATCTCGAAAATATGAGTGGCAGCATCTCGATACCCTTTTTAAAGACAAGGGTTGATTTGCCGACTCCGAGTTTCCAGTGCTGACGCCGCCGACACTGGACACCAAGTGTTGACGTACCTTCGGCACTGGAGATCTAGGACGGAAGCCGCCTCACCTCTGTATACCGAGTGCTGAGAAATGAACCCGTTACTTCGGTACTTGCATTATTTTCACCCCAAATACACCAATTCTTACATTGTTTATCTGACATTTCCAACTCAGATTACCTGCCGCGCCGAACGGAAGGTTGCTGTCGAATGGAATCGCTATAAGTTAATCATACCTCAAAGACTTGTATCATATGTTTCCCTCTGCGAAGAAGCAGTTCCAACTGGCCATCTAGCCAGCTCAGGACAGTCATGTGTTCATCAGCTGCAGTGGCGGCTTTCCGTGGGTGAGATGAAATCGCGGCGCCTGGTTTTCGGGCCACTGTAAGCTGTGGAGTTTTGTCAAGTTTGTCCTGTCAATCCCTCAATACGCCGAGATAGCACCGCCATCAAACTTCTTTCAAGCCGTACCCGGAAATTTAAGCCGTACCCGCTCAAAAATTCTGGCCGTACCCAGAAATTCGTGCCGTACCCGCAAAAATTTCAAGCCGTACCCGGTAATTCGTGCCGTACCCTATACTTTTTCGCCGTACCCAATGGCGGATATCGCTCAGCCCCGGTGCGTAGTCACTCGGAAGTCGTGTCTAAATACCCTGTACGGCAGCGATACACAACCTCATATAGCCTATGCTCTGGTAAATATTCCTGGCCACCTATCTGCCGAATGGCGTCGTACAAATCGCGCCCAATCTTGAGAACACTTCGCTCGGCCGGTTAAAATTACCTTTTGACTTAAGGTGTCCTCCCTGGCTAATTTGGCATTTAAAGTTTCCATCGTTTTCTCACAAAGAAATTTAGAAAGAACTGTAGTTGTACTGAATATTGATACATGTGTACAGAAGGGTTATGAATATGGTTTTATGGACTATATGGATGACGTCATCACATTTTATTGCCCCAAATGTAATTATCTTTAAAGTTATAATATAGCACTTTGGTAACATGATTTTCATGTGCATAATGGTCAAAGCTAAAAACGTACGTTTGCACAAATTGATATCTACTAATCTACTAGTTATATACACCACACTAGTTTGGATATCGTACCTTCATTCAGATCAAAATGTTCAACATTCAGAAGTTCCACTGCAGTACGATACCGAGACGCTAGGGGTGTCCCATAATTGGACTTGTCTTTCGCTTCGGGTGGATTTTAATACCAAAACCCAGGACAATCCACCTAGGCATCCCTAAATTATTATGTTCACAGAAACGGACGGGAAGACAGACGGAAGGAACGACACATAGACACACTCACCATGCAACCGGAAATATTGCCCTGGCCAAGGTAAAAACATCACTGAACATACAAGGCTTCGCTCGCAGGATTTGATGCTCTTACGTACTTGGATGTCCATAGAAACAATTAACACATGTTTGTTTGATAGCGTGGGAGCCATGCGACATACACAACAACTCACACAACCATCTTGAGGTCGCTGCTTTAACAGGATTCGAGAATTAGGACAAGTTCTTGAAAATATGTCTCTTTGCTGTATGTTACATTGACACCAGGCAGAAGACGCATTCTCTCTTTTCAAGGGTTTGCGATACTGTATTCTGTATTGCACAGTTACATCCACAGCTAGTTACTGTTCTACAGTCAAAAACATCATTTATTAAACTAGACGTCACTGGAAACTTTGGTCTGACAATAACAGAACTCGCCTCGTGAAACAAAGAACAACGGAAGGAGGCAGCATACTACGTCCGATGGAAGCTGTACTAGATGTAATATAGGAAAATTGTTCCTTTCTTTTGATGGATCCAGTGATCTCCACTTTGGATGGTATTTAGAATGTTATAGAGCAAAAGCAGAACTCAGATTTAATGTTCAATTATTCCTTTCGCCTTGATTTCCCTTACAGTTGCACATATTTCACTTTCATCGGTACAGGTGCTTAGACAAATATGACGGACAATTAATACGTTATATGGAGAAAGAAAAGACAGCATGGAAAAAAATTTCATTTAAAAATATCTTTGTTAAAGAACTGTTGGGTAACATCTGATCTGCCTTTAAAAAACACGTTGCAAATTCGTATGTAGTATTTGTAATTGTAACAGCTTTGTTTTAGAACAATCCATTACTGCAGGGGGGGCAGCCGGTCTGACACATGTCACGTGACGTCCGGTCAGTGGGTCCAGTTTCCGGTGATGGACACCACGTCTGACATGCTGAGTTTGGGGACGACCAGGTTTCTGAGATCACGTGACGTCACGTTAAGGTCCACCGCGGTGACCACACCGTCCCTGTTGACCTTGATCTTGGCAAACCTGCCGGACAGAAAGACGAAAGTTTCTACAATGACGTAGAGGGCAGCCAGTACTATTAGATCTGGCCATAGGAACACATGCTTAAATACACTGTTAGAAGTCCTCATGAATGAACTTGCCCATACTTCAATCTGAAAATATTTTTCTGCACCAGGTAGCAACAAGGGTCTGATCCCCAAATACAGAAAGAAAACAGGGGGTCGACCAGGTCAAATTCCCGCCACAGCTGATGATAGTAACAAAACCTCAACTTTGACCTTCTTTTCCATGGTATCCATCCTAGACCACAAGACCTAACCACTCACATCTCTCATTACACCCACTAAACTGCTGAAATACTGTAAACAAAAAACCAAAGTAGGAAAGTTTAGAGGCAGTGCCTATGGAAGATTTGGGAGGCCCTGAGGACCCAAATGAAGATCGGATGGCAGGGGCACAAAGGGTTCCAGACACCACCCATGACTCTGAATCCAGGCTTCCAGACACCACACATGACTCTGAATCCAGGGTTCCAGACACCACACATGACTCTGAATATGCAAAGATGTTACAGCTTGTCTATGACAACGAGGCATCAGAGTATGCCAACAGTGATACAGATGAAGCCGACTACAGCACATCACGAGAACTGGCTGATGATGCATCAGGAGCTGCTGAAACCTCAAGCATGGAACCATGGGGGAAGAAGAACCACCTCAAAAAACTCGTGAATGAACTACATGAAAAAAGCATTTAAAAAACGCAGACAAAACTGTACAATGTGCGTCGAGATAAGGTTTGGCCTTCACTAAAAGAAAAGATTGCCCGCAAAACCTTTGACCCGTTCAGGGCCATAGAGGTCAAGTTCATTGGAGAGGAGGAGAGCATTGGCCAGGGTGGCCCCAAAAATGAAATGTTTAGATTGACACTTGATGGCATCTTTTCCTCAAGTCAAGTGGCCCTTTTGAACTCACTGCGCAGGGCTTTCTTCCAGTAAGTTCCCCCATCGCGCTCTACAACGAAGAGTTTGTGACAGTGGGGAAAGCCCTCGCCATGTCCATTGTTCACTTTGGACCATCCCCCACTTGCCTACACCCTGCTGTAGTGTCAGTGGTCTGTGACCAGAAGCTGCCAGACATGTCTGCTTTCAAGCCAGTGGATAAAGGAACAGCCGACTTTGTGGAAAAGCTTGAAAAAGCAACCAAGAGACACTGCCCAGCCTGCTCCAGAGCGACATCGGCATGTCGATGCTGTCCGTGGCGGGCTGGAGAAAGACGGCAGCCAGTACGTCGGTTGAAGAAACAGTTGTTATAAGGAGGGTACTGTGTCTTCAGGACATTGTAATCTCCAGAAAGTCAGCCATCGAGCAGCTGCGAGAGGGCTTGAAACTGTTTGGCCTGCTCAGTGTTTTGGAGTCTGAGCCCCACCTGGCCGGGTCACTCCTGCTCAAGTCTACTACTCCAATCACTTCTGACGACGTAGTGAGAGCACTGAGTGTCCACTGGGCAGAGGATGGCAGCAACAGGAAAGACAGACAAAAGGATGTCTACCAGAGGCTAACGACCTGGCTGGAATGCGTGGAAGAGGGTGATGGCCGTGTCTCGCTCAAACACTTCTTAACGTACGTGACTGCCCAGGAAGCTGAGCCAGTGACTGGGTGGCAGCTGCAGCCGATGCTGCAGTTCAAGGTATGCCCCGCAGGCTGTAGGTGCTACCCAGTGTCGAACACTTGCGCCCTAACTTTGACGATGCCAGAGCACATGGCAAGCATTGGACTTGGGACTGAAATGGACACTTAACGCTTTTTTTTTACAAAATTGAATAAAAGAGCAACTAGAATCACTCGCATGTCGCCCTATCCCGGAGT